GATACGATTAGCTGGTGATGGTGGGACTACTAGCACCCTCTGACAACTAGCTGGTGGTGGTATGGTAACTATTAGTACTACCTGACACCCTTACCTCGGCGGTGTGTGTGGAGGGGCCTGCACACGTCTTGCCTGTATTAGATGAAATACTTGTCCCTCTGATGCAACCATACTCCTCCTCCCCCTCCCCCTCCTCCTCCCCCTCCTCCTCCTCCTCCTCCTCCTCTTCCACCACCACCACCTGTTTCACCTCCTCTTCCTCATCCTCATCCATTACCCCTTCCTCCATCACCTCCTCTTCCTCCTCATCATTTACCCCCTCTTCCACCACCACCTCCTCCTCCTGCACCTCCCCCTCCTTTTCCTCCTCCTTTACCTCCTCTTGCACCACCTCTTCTTGCACCTCCTCTTGCACCACCTCCTCCTTCACCTCTTCTTGCACCACCCAGTCACCCTCCGTGTGACAAATATTCTCTTGCGGGACGATTAACTGGTTCTTTGGGTGATAATGATTGGCTGACTGACTGACTGACTGTGTTGCTGATGAACTAAGCGTGCTAACTAACTGACCGACTACCCGACACTGACTGACTGACTGTGTTGCTGATGAACTAAGAGTGTTAACTAACTGACCGACTACCCGACACTGACTGACTGACTGTGTTGCTGATGAACTAAGAGTGTTAACTAACTGACCGACTACCCGACACTGACTGACTGACTGTGTTGCTGATGAACTAAGAGTGTTAACTAACTGACCGACTACCCGACACTGACTGACTGACTGTGTTGGTGATGAACTAAGGGTGTTAACTAACTGACCGACTGCCCGACACTGACTGACTGACTGTGTTGGTGATGAACTAAGAGTATTGTTAACTAACTGACCGACTACCCGACACTGACTGACTGTGTTGGTGATGAACTAAGAGTGTTAACTAACTGACCGACTACCCGACACTGATTGATTGACTGACTAACCAAGGTTATAAACAAGCCACTGTCATCCACCTAAAATTAAGTCGACTTCACAATGGTGGTGGTGGTGCAGACAGTAGTAGGTAGCCCCCCTCCCCACCCCATCCTCACAGTCCACTATGATAATGAGGCCACCCACCCACCCACCCCTCCCCTACTCTCCCTTTAGCATCCACGTTCCACCCGTTTCGTTTATTTTTCTCAACCACCCACCGCCTAATCTCCACCATAACCACCCACTTCCCGCCCTCCATCACCACCTACGGGAAATGACCAACACCCACCTGAATATCGCACAGAAGGAAATAAATAAAAGAGGAGATATAAACGAAGGAGAGGAGGAAGAAACGGGAGAATAACGAGGGAGGAGAAGATGCGTGTGTGGGCGATGAGGAGCGGAGGCCTTGTCACCCCTCCAAAAACAATGTTAATCACCGTACCTTTTATTCTGCAAGATTCGCTTTAATTGGGAACTTTCCTCAAGACAAGGGGATGTCTTTCTGTCTGTCTGTCTGTCTGTCTGTCTGATTGCATATTTCTCTGTCGGTCTGTCTGGTTACATGTTTCTTTGTCTGTCTGTCTGTTTGTGTCTCTGTCTGTCTGTCTATGTCTGTCTGTATGTGTCATTCTAGCTGCGTTTATTTGTCCGTTAGTCTTTGAATGTTTCTGTCAGTCTGCAAGTTTCTCCGGTTCTCTCTCCAAACGTTTGTCTGTTTGTCTGTCCACCTCTCTGTCAGTCTGCATGTTTCTGTCTCGCTGCAAGTTTCAGTCTGTTTGTTCTGGCTGTCTATCTGTCAGCCTGTCTTCTTTTGTCTCGCTACTGTATTGTGCTGCTGGTGATGAGGACGAGAAGAATAATCATGCGAGTTGGCAAGACTAACAATAAATAAACTAAAAATAACAACACATGATAATAATAATATCAATAACAACAACAACAATAATAATAACAAACAATAATAATAATAATAATAATAATAATAATAAATAAGAGGGAGAACATCAATAAATTTCTGATGCTACGAACACACAATTTACAAAACTAAAAATAAAAAAAGTATATTACATGTTAAAATGGTTTAATCGCGTAAATGGCACAAAAAACACGAAAAAATTCACCAGAAAGCTCATTTGATGGTCGTTAAATGGTCACCACCAGTCCGTCTCGGCTAAAAGAGTCGTACGTAAGAGTCACTCAAAAAAATAATCAGTACTTGAGGGGAAGGGGGAGAGGGGGTGGTCGATGAATTTCAGAATGAACACTCTGACTCCTGTTATCTCGGTAGGGTTGTCAGAATATTTCATCCATTGTCTCGTAGTCTCAACGCCGTTTTGTATAGATATATTTTTGAGTCTCGTTGTACCTATATAAGTAAACAGTGTAGAGGAAAAAGCTGTTGGGGCTCCGGTTCACTAATGTTCGTAAGATTGATATTCCTCGTAAGTGGTGATGTATTATACGAGTGCACTTGACTGTATGACGTAAGTTAAAACACGAAAATAACGTCTAAAAGTAAATATGAAAATTATACTGAGACTTTACCTCAGCTAGATACGTTTACTTAACACCAGGAGACAAAAATTACTCTTCAGACTCCTAACTGGTATAGTGTGTGAACTTATCTAGTTAAGGTCGAGTCTTAATGTAATTCTGTCTCCTTATTGGCCCCTAGTGAATGTAACGTGTCTATAGTTAAGAAGCTCAGTGCAATTCTGATGATATAATTGGACGCTATGTTTGTGTATTAACTTCAACTATCAGTTAGGAGGAGTAATGGTCGTGCAAACCTCTGATACTTTGAACCCAGGCTAAAGTAAACCACTACTGAGGAAAGTGAACCTAATAAGGAGTGAACCCAGTCAATCAGATATGAACCCAGCCAAGTGAACAAAGTCAGATGAGTTAATCACAGCCACTGGACCGGTCAGTTAGTCACTCGCCAAATTTAATCTGGTTAAAGGTGAATAAAACAAGAATTAGGTAGAGTCGCTCCCCTTCCCTTACCCTTCCTCCTGCCTCCTTCCCTTACCCTTCCTCCTGCCTCCCTCCCTTACCCTTCCTCCTGCCTGCCCCCCTCCATTACCCTTCCTCCTGCCTCCCTCCCTTACCCTTCCTCCCTCCCTTACCCTTCCTCCTGCCTCCCTCCCCTACCCTTCCTCCCCCTCCCCCTTACCCCCTCCCTTACCCTTCCTCCACCTCCCTCCCTTGCCCCTTACCCCTTCCTCCTCCTCCCTTACCCTTCCTCCTGCCTCCCTCCCCACCCTTCCTCCTGCCCCTCCCTTACCCCTTCCCTGCCTCCCTCCCTTACCCCCTCCCTTCCCCCCTGCCTCCCTCCCTTCCCTTCCCCTCCCTCCTTCCCTTGCCTCCCTCCCTTCCCTTTCCCCCTTGCTTTCCTCCCCCCCTTCCCCTGCCCTCCCTACCGTCCCCTTGTCTCCATCTCCTGCCTCCCTCCCCTAAAGCCTCCCTTTCCCCCTCCCTCCCCTAAAGCCTCCCTTTCCCCTCCCTCCCTCCCCTAAGCCTCCCTTTCCCCTCCCTCCCCACCCCCCCTAGCCTCCCTTTCCCCTCCCTCCCCTCCCCTAAAGCCTCCTTTTCCCCCCCTCCCCTCCCCTAGCCTCCCTTTCCCCTCCCTCCCCTCCTCCCCTTTCCCTGCTCCCTCTCCCTCCCCTCTTCCCTCCTCCCCTCCCCCCCGTCTCCCTCGTGGGGCCCAACACCATCTACGGTGACATATTAATTGGGCCCCAGCTCTAACAAGCCCCAACCTGCTCAAACCATTCAGACAAGAACCCATCAAGACCAGTGCCCATTAAATACTGAGTTTCAGACCTAATGGCTTGGTTACTCTCACGCTGGGGCCCGTTAGGACTGGGGGTCCATTAGAACAAAGAACCCATCAGGACACAGGATCAACCAGGACCCAGGACCCATCAGGAAACAATGTCCATCAGGACACAGAACCCATCAAGGCACTAAACCCATCAGGACACAGGACACATTAGGACACATCAGGACACAGGTCCCATTAGGAAACAATGTCCATCAGGACACAGGGCCCATAAGGACACAGGGCCCATACGGACACAGGGCCCATCAGGACATAAGACCCATCAGGACACAGAACCCATCAGGATAGATAACCCATTGGGACATTAAACCCATCAGGACACAGAACCCATCGGGACATTAAACCCATCAGGATACAGGGCCCATCATGACACAGGGCCCATCAGGACGCAGGGCCCATCGGGACACAAGACCGATGAGGACACAGAACCCATCAGGATAGACAACCCATTGGGACATTAAACCCATTAGGACACAGAACCCATCGGGACATTAAACCCATCAGGATACAGGTCCCATCAGGACATAGGGCCCATCAGGACACAGGACTCATCAGGACACAGAACCCATCGGGTCATTAAACCCATCAGGAAACAGGGACCATCAGGACACACAACCTATCAAGACATAGGACCCATCAGGACACAGGGCCCATCTGGACACCTAAACCCATCAGGACACACAACCTATCAAGACATAGGACCCATCAGGACACAGGGACATCTGGACACAGGACCCATCAGGACAGGGCCCATCTGGACACAGGACCCATCAGGACACAGGACCCATCAGGACACAGGGCCCATCTGGACACAGGACCCATCAGGACACAGAACCCATCGGGTCATTAAACCCATCAGGACACAGGGCCCATCCGGACACAGGACCCATCAGGACACAGAAACCCATCGGGTCATTAAACCCATCAGGACACAGGGACCATCAGGACACACAACCTATCAGGACACAGGACCCATCTCCAGGGCCCATCCGGACAGGGACCCATCAGGACACAGAACCCCATCGGGTCAAACCCATCAGGACACAGGACCATCAGGACACACAACCTATCAGGACACAGGACCATCAGGACACAGAGCCCATCAGCACTAAACCCATCAGGACACAGGGCCCATCTGGACTGGGACCCATCAGGACACAGAACCCATCGGGTCATTAAACCCATCAGGACACAGGGCCCATCTGGACACACCATCAGGACACATCAGGGGTCATCAGGGACACAGGACCCATCAGGACACAGGGGGGCCTGGGGCCCGCTCTTAGCCACCTCACTATGCAGATGCCACACTCCAACCGGGAGAGAGGAGTTAACTATGTAGTAAAATGTGTGTATCTGTTCTCTCCTTGACGTCTTCTGATACACATCTTTTATTGTCAATATGTTGAGTTTATGGGGGGGAGGAGGAGGGGAGGAGGAGGAGGAGGAGGGAGGGGAGTAGGGGAGAGGGGAGAGGGGAGGGAGGAGGGGGAGGGGAGGAGGGGGACGGGGGGAGGAGGGGGAATGGGGAGGAGAGGGGAGGAGGGGGACGGGGGGAGGGAGGGGGGAATGGGAGGAGGAGGGACAAAGGACAGGGGAAAGGTAAAGTAAGTGCGTGTGGAGGGAGGGGTGAGTAAAGAGAGTGGGTGGAGGAAAGGGCACTGGGGTAGGTGGAGGGAGGAATGGGTGGAGGGAGTGGGTGGAAGGAGAGAGGGTGTGCCGGGAGGATGTAAGTGGAGGGAAGGGCGTGGAGGGAGGGAATGGGGAGGGAAGGGAGGAGTGGAAGGTATGGTGGAAGGAGGGGTGAAGGGAATGTGGAGGAGGGGTGGAAGGGAAGGGCATGTGGAGGGATGAAGGGTGGAGGGAAGGCGTATGAAGGGAGGGGGAGTGGGTGGAGGGGAAGGGCATGTGGGGGAAGTGGCGTGTGGATGGAGGGAGTGGGTGGAGGGGGAAGGGCGTGTGGTGGAGGAGGGTGGAGGGAAGGGCGTGTGGTGGAGGTGGGTGGAGGGGAAGTGGAGGGAGGGGTGGAGGGCGTGTGGTGGGTGGAGGGGAAGGGCGTGTGGTGGAGGGAGCGGGTAATTTATAACTGGTTCAGAGGATGGGGAGTATCTGGGCAGGATCGCTCCCGCTCCTCGCTAATGCCGGCCGTCCCATAATTGTGGAAAACCAGAGCAACAGGCCCGAGGCCCCGTTGATTTATAACCACCCCTGATGCATCCCCCTCCCTCGCCTCCTGCAGGGTGTTGCTACTTTTCCTGGTGGTGGCGTGGACGTGGAGGACAGGAGATGACGCCCACGCCACCTTCCCGACCACGCCGGCCACGCCTCTAACAACGCGCCCACCTCAACGAAGGTTTATGGAAAGGGTCGGTGCACAGCGAAGCGGAGACCCACCTGGCCACGCCCCAGGCGGGACCTGCAGTTTGACAATAAAAACTTGCAACATTTCCATTTACAAGAACACCCGAATTTTCAGCAGAACTATGCAGAGTGTCGTTTGTGTTTGTGTAGGGGTAAGTAGAGTGGGGGGGCCGGAGCCACAAGTTACCATTACTACAGACACTCACACTGTGTATCAGACACACCCACATACACACACAAAGACGAGAGGCCAAACACGTACACACTCGGGAAAGCCAGACTCAAGGTTTAATCTGGTAATGTTGTAATAATAATAATAATAATAATAACAATAATAATAATAATAATAATAATAATAATAATAATAATAATAATAATACCAATAATATTAATAATAATAATAATAAGACCAATAATAATAATAATAATAATAAGACCAATAATAATAATAATAATAATAATAATAATAATAATAATAATAATACCAATAATATTAATAATAATAATAATAAGACCAATAATAATAATAATAATACCAATAATAATAATAATAATAATAATACCAATAATATTAATAATAATAATAATAAGACCAATAATAATAATAATAATAATAATAATAATAATAATAATAATAATAATAAGACCAATAATATTAATAATAATAATAATAATAATAATAATACCAATAATATTAATAATAATAATAATAAGACCAATAATAATAATAATAATAATAATAATAATAATAGCGTCACAATAACAAGAATCAGAGTGGACTAAAAGAAAACGTGAACATGTTTCAATTTCAACTCTTGAAATTAGATATGGACAAAAAGTCTTAAACTTCAGGGTGAAAATTTTCATCACTGGTGGTACATTAAGGAACGCCCCAGATAAACCTTGATAAGGGGGGGATGGGAGGAGGAGCATGGAAAGGATAGGAGGAGGGGAAGGAGAAGGGAAGGGGTATGGAGGGAGGGTGTGGTAGGGAGGGGTGTGGTAGGGGAGGGGTATGGTAGGGGAGGGGTATCGGAGGAGGGGTATGGGTGAGGAGCAGGAAAGGGGGGGATATGGAGGAGGGAATGGTAGGGGAGGTGGAGGAGGGGAAGGAGAGGAGGGGGGTAAGTGGTAGAGGGGTATAGTAGGGAGGGGTATGGTAGGAGGGGTATGGTAGGAGGGGTGGGAGGAGGGTATCGGGAGGAGGGGTATGGTAGGGAGGGTATGGGTAGAGGGGTATGGTAGGAGGGGTATCGGAGGAGGGGTATGGAGGAGGGGTATGGTAGGAGGGGGTGGTAGGGAGGGGAAGGAGAGGAGGGTATGGTGAGGGGTATCGGAGGAGGGGTAAGTGGTGGAGGGGTATGGTGAGGGGTAAGGGTAGGGAGGGGTATCGGAGGAGGGATGGTAGGAGGGGTATGGTAGGGAGGGGAAGGGTAGGAGGGGTATGAGAGGAGGGGTATGGTAGGAGGGGTATGGTAGAACGGGGTATCGGAGGAGGGGTATGGGTGAGGAGCATGGAAAGGGGGGGGATATGGGGAGGAGGGGTAATGGTAGGGAGTATGGGAGGAGGGGGTATGAGAGGGTATGGTAGGAGGGGATCGGGAGAGGGTATGGTAGGAGGGGAGGTGGTAGGAGGGGTAGGGTAGGAGGAGATGGGAGGAGGGTGGAGTAGGAGGGTAGGGTAGGAAGGGTATGGTAGGAGGGTATGGTAGGAGGGGTACGGAGGAGGGAAGGGGAGAAGGGTATGGGAGAGGAGGGGTATAGAGGAGGGGTATGTGGTAGGGGAGGGGTAAGGTAGGAGGGGTATGGTAGGGGTGGTAGGACGGGCATGGTAGGAGGGGTATGGGAGAGGGGTATCGGAGGGGTAAGGGGAGGAGGGGTGGGGAGGGGGGTGGTAGGGAGGGGTATGGTAGGGAAGGGTATGGAGGAGGGGTATGGGAGGAGGGTATGAGAGGAGGGGTAAGGGGAGGAGGGGTATGGGTAGAGGGGTATGGTAGGGGAGGGGTATCGGAGGAGGGTATCGGAGGAGGGGTATGGTTGAGGGGTATGTAGGAGGGGTATCGGAGGAGGGGTATGGGAGGAGGGGTTGGAGGAGGGGTATGGTAGGGAGGGTATGGTAGGAGGGGTATGGTAGGAAGGGGTAGTATGGGGAGGAAGGGTGGGAGGTAGGGAGGGGTATGGGAGGAGGGGTAGGAGGAGGGAGGAGGGTATAGGACGGGTAGGAGGGGTATGGTAGGAGGGGTATGGTGGGAAAGGTGGGGAGGGTATGGTGGGAGGGGAGGGTATGGTGGGTGGGGTATGGTAGGAGGGGTATGGTAGGAGGGGTATGATAGGGAGGGGTATGGTAGGAGGGGTATGGTAGGAGGAGTATGGTAGGAGGGGTATGGTAGGTGGGGGGTATGGTAGAGGGGTATGGTAGGGGAGGGTATGATAGGAGGGTATGGTAGGAAGGGTACAAAGGGGTTATCTTGGCAGTACCTGTTATCGGTCGAAAGGCTAGAGGGAGTTGTAGTGGTACAGTAGTGTGGTGGGTACAGTAGTGTGGTGGTACAGGTGTGGTGGTACAGTATTATGGTGGTACAGTAGTGTGGTGGTACAGTAGTGTGGTGGCACAGTAGTGTGGTGTACAGTAGTGTGGTGGTACAGTAGTGGTGGTACAGTATTATGGTGGTACAGTAGTGTGGTGGGTACAGTAGTGTGGTGGTACAGTAGTGTGGTGGCTACAGTAGTGGTGGTACAGTAGTGTGGTGGTACAGTAGTGTGGTGGTACAGTAGTGTGGTGGTACAGTAGTGTGGTGGTACAGTAGTGTGGTGGCACAGTAGTGTGGTGGTACAGTAGTGTGGTGGTACAGGCATGGTGGTACAGTGTGTGGACAGTAGTGTGGTGGCACAGCACATGGGGTACAGTAGTGTGGTGTACAGTAGTGTGGTGGTACAGTAGTGTGGTGGCACAGTAGTGGTGGTACAGTAGTGTGGGTGGTACAGTAGTGTGGTGGCACAGTAGTGTGGTGGTACAGTAGTGTGGTGGTACAGGGTGTGGTGGTACAGTATTGTGGTGGTACAGCAGTGGTGGGTACAGTAGTGTGGGTACAGTAGTGTGTGGTGGTACAGTAGTGTGGTGGTGACAGTAGTGTGGTGGTACAGTATATGGTGGTACAGTAGTGTGGTGGTACAGTAGTGTGGTGGTGCAAGTGTGGTGGTAGCAGGTGAAAGTGTGGTGGTACAGTATTGGTGGTACAGTAGTGTGGTGGTACAGTAGTGTGGTGGTACAGTAGTGTGGTGGTACAGTAGTGTGGTGGTACAGTAGTGTGGTACAGCATGATGGTGGTACAGTAGTGTGGTGGTACAGTAGGTGTGGTGGTACAGTAGTGTGGTGGTACAGTATTGTGGTGGTACAGAGTGTGGTGGCACAGTAGTGTGGTGGTACAGTAGTGTGGGTGGTACAGTAGTGTGGTGGTACAGTTGGTCAGTGTGTGGTGGTACAGTAGTGTGGTGGTACAGTATTGTGGGTACAGTAGTGTGGTGGTACAGTGTGGTGGCACAGTATTATGGGGGTACAGTAGTGTGTGGTGGTACAGTAGTGTGGTGGTACAGTGTGTGGTGGCACAGGTGGTGGTACAGTAGTGTGGTGGTACAGTAGTGTGTGGTGCAGTAGTGTGGTGTGGTACAGTAGTGTGTGGTGGTACAGTAGTGTGGTGGTACAGTACAGGTGGTACAGTAGTGTGTGGCAGTAGTGTGGTGGTCAGTGTGGTGGTACAGTAGTGTGGTGGCACAGTAGTGTGGTGGTACAGTATTTGGTGGTACAGTAGTGTGGTGGT